CTGTCTGCATACCCCCAATCTCAACTGTAATCTTAACTTAATTTAAACCCCAAACTTAACTCCTTTTTCACAGAACTTTTTCGCAGAGCCATATGTACTACAGGCTGTGCCCGTTTCCTTGTCTCACCGGAGGATACATAAGTGCTCTGTAACCGCTAGAATTCCAGAACCAGTGCCCCGAATTGTCACTAAGATGCGTATTAAAACAAAACAGAGCATACGACCTACTTCCATCCGTACGTTGGCAGAATGCAAACTATCCCATAGGTGGCTTTATAAACTTCTGCTCGCAATCTTTGCTGACAAGGGTAACAAACGGTTTCTTTCTAAATTTCTCGTAAGAGCATGGTTAACTTAAAGTTGATACACATGCCAGTGTACCATGCGCTGCTTTCTTCTACTGGCAAGGGACTATTTGCCAAAACATATAACCATTATTAGGTCAGAGCGATGTACGTAAAGGTGGAAATCTATGATGAGGCTGGAAATGGGTCATGTGGTTATAAAAAGGTCACGAAAGACAGAAAAGAGTTGAGAAGTGTGTTGTAACGCCGTGGGTGGCGAAACCCCCTCATGACCAGAAACAGTATCCAGTATAACTTTTTTCTCCTTAGTCCCGATAGCAAAGATGAACGCATACCTCTCAACCTGTCACATGGATGGCGAAAGTTTTTTTTCACTTCTTGTTCCTGTTCATCTGCTTATCATATAGCCCTTACAATTCTTCTTTTTTCCGTCCTGTATATATTAGTTTGTTGGAATATTCACTTGACGCAAAGGTGAAAAATTAGCGGCCTCGATGAAAGTCGAACCTACACAGCAGAGAAGGCTTTGTGGCAGCCAACGCTCTACTATTGAGCTACGCGGTTCACCACGAGTCGTGAATTTAATGACACGTTGATTGATTTTACCCGCCCAACATACCCCTTGTATGTAATCTACCATTACGGAACAGCACATTATTTGAAGTACACAATGGTGACGAATGAGGACTAATCATTTCGATAAAAAGAACTGACTACTTATATGTCTGGTCCTACGAGAAAGTAGAACCAGCTAGCTCTACAAATCAGGCAAACGATTCTTACACACACATTCTTCCATTATTGAAATAAGGTCGGTGAATGACGAAAACTTAAAAGGGAGGACCAACTGTTAGGTTGCATGCTAAGTTAATGTTGGCTACTGCTGACACTGGTGACCAAACCTGACGTGGGATGGATCCATTAAAGGCATCCCTTATATGCAGATGAAAAGGATCCGAAGCTCACATATTGCCAACTATTCCTTCATTTCAACGGTGGCGAACTTAATCTTAGACAACGTGTTTCCGGATAGAACTATGAGAAATAAATTTGAGAGTCAGCCAGTGATAACCTCAGTGAAGAAAAGACGCATTAGGAATAAGCCGAGATATATTTCTGTATTTTAAAACTGTCCACGTAAGTTGTGGCAAGAATAAGTTATCAAAATGAGCTTGGCATGGCCAACGGCTGCCTAACTACCTGCATATTTTCGCGCTTTCTACCGCTTCAACCCCCCCCCTCCCTATCCCCTGTCCGGACTCAACAAACACTCATCAACTTGCAACCAGCTGATTACCATCAACCCCACGCCCCCTCCCCTATCCTCATGACTAAGTTGCGTTTGGCGATAACATAATTACCAGCATGTTACTGTTGACTCCCACCCCTATATAAGTATAACGGCCCGAAGAGTATTTATCGAAAGCTACGTATGCTCGCCAAATACTCTTCTGAATTCTCTGATGGTAATATTCGCAACATTCTGCGTCTGACTGTGTTAAAGAATGGTTACAGGTGCTGTAGCTAAATGAAACCCTAAACTGCCCGGTCGTAAAAGAAAGACGAAAGTTGAAAATATAATTTTTTTTCTAAATTTGCTAGCATACGTTTGCTTTCGATAATTTCTCGTAGGACCAGAACATTTACATCGTAAATAACTAAATAAACTATGCGGGTTTGTAGAAAAGAAATGCGGTTGTCAGGATAGATGGGTGAGGATGGGGAGGGATCGGGAAGAAAAAATTTTATTAGAGTTTGGAGGGACTGGTGGCCGAGAGAGGTGATAATCTACGAGCTGTTGAATTAGCGACGTTCGGCCATGGTAACTGCGGCGCCATTACGAGGTTCCTTTGGGCGCACAGGACCATTCTACGTAAACTGATAGCGGCCGTGTCTGTCGTAGCCTACAGACGATTTCCAAGGAATTTTGAGTAGGTTGAGAATACCTTGTAGATCACTCAGAAGGCCTCTCTGGAATCCACGCGATGGTCTGAGTCTACCAGGTGAACTAGAAGGAAACTGTTTATACGCTTTATTTGGCCTTTTCCTAACCTCACTGGAATGCGCTCTCGTACTCTTTTGGCCAAAAGCCGGCTCGTGCGACCATTACATCCTGCCCCACAGAAGCAGGTGAAGGAATACCTGCACATAGAGGTGGTCAGGGCTGGCAGTTTGCCCTTGATCTCTTCGCATAAGATGGGAGTGGTCGAAAAGAGTAAATGGGCGTTGGTTGCTGGAAAGGTGGTTGCTACAGCTTGACTCAGGAGCCTCCTTAGAAGTTGGTTTGTTCCGTCCCCTTTAAATGAGATCCTTAGAGCTTCTTCTTTGCTGTTAAAACTGACGGTTTAGGTGTCTTTCAGCCATATTCGTAACGATAAATCGACTGGGATACCAATTTTGTCCAAAAAAGCCTTTAACAATCTCAAGCTCCTATTCGATGCTGTTAGTCGAGCAGATCCTTTACGCCCTTTGCGGCAAACGTACGAAACTAGCAAAAGGGGTGCATTGTCCGGACCACGTCTTCTTACGATGGAACCTACGTTGAATACTCCCGCCAGCCCTTCTACTCAATAGTACATCGAGGAATCGGAGCGGTTCGGAGTGTTCTTCTTCTAGAGTAAACTTGATTGACGGGTGCGCCTGATCTACGGTAGGCATTGGAGCTGAACTGTTGGATTTTTTTCCGACGCAATTGCGCATTTATCATCCGTGTAACGTCTGTAGTACGTCATACTATTTATCTGGTGGCGAAGTTGCGAGGCTTCCAGTTTGCCCATAAATATATTCTCTAGAAGCGAGCTAACTAGTACATAGCCTTTAAATATCCGATGGAGGCGGATTCTAGCGTCTGCATAGAAAACTACTCTGAGTCATATTGGACCAGTACCTGCCGGTTGACACTTTAACGCATAAATGCAGGCGATTTTTCCGAATGGAAGGCAGAACAGCCAGTGTTTTTTTTTTGAGAGGATTCGATCGCTGGGACGACATTTTTATTCGCAAGGGCAATGAGGTGTTTTAAGTAAACGTGTGATTTCAAGTCAACCAAGGCAGCTCATATTTTCTAATGCGTCATGCGGAACTTTTACCTTCGGTATTGCCTGATGGAGGTAACAAATAGGGCCAACCAATTCGCACTCGAAACACAATACATTTTATCATTTTGTGTAAAATGAGACGTATAGGAGAACTAGATGAACTAGAGACTGGTTATTAGAATCAGTTAGGAGCAAATAATTTCGAATTTTGCGTGTTAATTTATTGGAATACAATATTGCCAGTCCTGCAAGAAACTTTTGTGACGAAATTTAACTTGGTAGTTAAGCACATATTTTGCCAGGTTACGTTGATCAAATGAGCGGATTTAATAATAAGAAAGGCTTTAGTTTGGAAAAACACCTTCTTAGTTAGAGTTATGAAGCAAAGTAGGCACTCATTTTGGCTAAATCGTAAGAAAGTTTATAACGAAGAAATTTCCCATGCTATAAGGTACGACAGAACCAAACTTTTCATCAATATGCATTGTACTATAGAAGAATTCCAGGATAAGTAGAAAAAATTGGAGAAAATGATCCCTTCCGGAAATGGAAAATTTTGTGCGCAGTTGTTCACATGGAAGTCAAACCACGTGTAAGAAATCGCATTTCATTTTAGAAACAAGCAAGAATTGAAGTTTTAAAAATTATGTTTAGCTATCCTGTGCAGCTTTTTGCACAAAATGCAGTAACAAAAACGTTTCGTCGGAACTTTTGTTTTACCGCACAGCTGTGCTTGCGCATGAGCAAAGTTTCGTATATGTTACCGCGAATGTAAAGTAAAGGAGGCCTTATTGAATGTAAGTCATGTAGAAATATACTTTTTTTAACTATACGTTCCACTTTTGCGTTATTTACAAACGGGACAGACAGAGGAATAATAGATATTTCAAAAAAAAGCTATATATTCCCCTTTTTTGCATTTGCAAGCTTACAAGAGATCTTGGAATTAATCCACTTATGCAGAAAACAATCCATTATAAAGAGAATAGTAAGTTATTTCATCTGCAGTCAAAATAGATCGTTTATCTTCAGGAAACTTAAAGAAATTAGCAAAAGTCTCAAATTTCATTGTGACATTCCGTTGGGCAAAGTTAATATGCACAAAAATTCGTCAGCCGAATATTTAATCAAAGCACTTTTTAAAGAGGTAACCCTTTATGCAAAGTTTTTTTTATTAATCTTAGGAATAAAATATCACATTTACGTTGCGGACATTACTTATTCTCGAAATTGTGGTCTGCTGTTTTGAGGGATTTCTTAATATGAGCAACACGGACACCTTCATTAAAACTTATATCAAAAAACACTTTATTTCGGTAAATGCTCTTTATATATATCTTATTTTAACGGTTTTGGCGTAAACGTCGAACAGAAGTGCAATTTATCAATGAAGACACTGAAAACGAAGAAAATAATGACAGAATTTATTCGACGATATTCGATAAATAGCTAACCACTAATGGTAATATGTACAAAATATTTGACTAATAAAACGTTTTTTTATTATAAAGAAATTGGCTCCGTTCCGTTTTCAAATTAATAAAATAGTTAAATTTATTGTTCTAATTTATAGCTATTTTTAACATATCCAGAGCTTGGGTTTCAGCTGGTGCATTTTATTTTTCTTAACAAACACTTATTACTTGTTATAGTTTTTTTAAGTACTAAATATGCCTAATGCTGCTCATTATTATTTCTAAGTTTTCATAAATGCGTTCCCGCTGGTTTGCGAGAAGTAATCAAACTTTCACAAACTTAGGCAAGTTTCTTGCAGCACTCGCCATACTGTACATATGAGGAAGATAGGAAGACATGCATAGTGACTAATGGTCTTCCAGGACAAAAAGACTGTCTAACGAAAGACGTTGCAACAATTGTTATTGCATAAGGCAGGCAACTCTGGATCCCTGGCATGTAAGAGGCAAGACCCGAGGAAGGCTGGTTGAGCACCGGCACAATTTATTGCTATAAGCTTTCAAACTCGCACAGGAGTTCATCGTCAGAGATAACTACAGCAACAAAAAGGCGACAACAATAGGGAGCGTACGTCAAGAGGTGACTGTACGCTGGCGCCCGATCGATACGTCGATTGGTTGAGTTCCTATCCCTGAACCAAGCTCCAATCAATTCTGGACTTCGCCCTTTTGTCGGCGTGGGTGGGTACCCGGACGGTTGCGAAGTTGTACTCATGGCCCATTTCGTAATTCTGAGCAGCGACTCGCGATAATTTGGTGCCAGAACACACAGCTAGCTTATGTCTTTTTATGCGTGATCCGAGCATGCGTTCAGTCTCACCTGTGTAATTACAGGGACAGCTTAGGCATGGAATACGATAAACTACCGTAGATTGTATTTTGGGATTTAGCTGCTCCTTGATTTTTAGTACCCTACTGCGCGTGGTAGCTTTGGTCGGTGTGCAGTTCCAAAACCAAGTCCCACAACAGTGCGTTCAGTCGCTTCTGGAACTTCTCTGATATTTGGCAAAGCGTGCCATATCCTCGGTGGTCTTTATGTTTGGGTCCTCTGGGACGAAGCGCCTAGGTACTGGCTTACAAACGACTTCGCATATCCGTTCTGATTTAGGGAGCTCCACATAGTCACCTCCAGTAGTGCGTTACTAAGAGTTGATTGCTTCAAAGCCCCTTTCTTTGTCGCTACTGTTATCACTGACGAAGAACTCCTGTACAAATTTGAAAGCTTGGGAAAATAAACTGTTTCGGTACCCAACCAGCTTTCTTTCATGGAAAAACCTAAAACGCTAAGCATCACATTTATTCGCACAAAAAACTCAGATGTGCCTATGCGTACTTATTCCTTTCAGAAGGTTGAGATTATCGGGTTGCAAGATTTTTCATTTGACGACATACAGGCGAGTATACATAATGAACACATTTAAAGATGGCAAAAATAGCTAGATCTATTGGATCCATGACAGTTCGAGAGACTTCTATATCATTCGTGAAAACAATTTAAATAAACCAAACTAACTAAACTAAGGCAAAGTAAACTAGTAATGATTTCACCTCCAAGAGCAACCGTATTGGGCTAATAAACCTAAAAATAAACTAAAACCTAAATAAATTAACTAAACAAAGGTAAACTAAAATAGTTAAACTATAAAGAAATCTTAAACTAAAAAAACTAATAAAACTTAGTAATAAATTAAAACAAATTTATAAGTAAACAGAAAATAAAATAAACTATAACATGAAACTGCAAATGAACTACTAATGGCGCGCTCTTTGTTAGCAAATTTTAGATTATTTAAACAATTTTGGGACCTAAACTAAATTTTAACCAGATCTAGAAATCTCAAATAGATACAACAGTATATACTGACACTGTTTTAGGCATACGAAAATACGTGAACTGCTTAAAATTTATTGGACATTTTAAATAGTAGACATACATAAACAAATTTTAACAAAGTTAACTAAGAGTCGACGTTTTAATTCCGAAAAATTAACCTACCATGATCGAGCATGCTTTGAGAATGAGGACCTGAGAAGGCGATGAACTTTTTCGGTATGATCCAGCTGAGATCACCATTTTCAACTTTCTGTAGGTTAGAATGAGGTTACCCAGATTATGGAAGCCTAAGCTCACCTCATAATATTCGTATTCATCGAGGTCAAATGTTTCAAAATTCAGAAACCCGCACTTCACAGCCTGTATAGAAAATAATTTGAATTAAAAACTAATACGATCTTACAATGTGAATTGATAAACAAAATACAAACAGAAAAGTTAGTCAACGCAGGTCAGCGCTCAGTTTTCTACAAAATTCTGTATTATTCGAATCCTCTTAGTCATAATTGCCCTTTTCTGGACCTGCCTGTGGACATCAAGTATAGGCAATAATCGAAGAATTGGAACACAAAAAGAGATGCAGTTTTCTGCCTCTTTTTATTTTATCCAACACTGGATTTTCAAATAAACGGGACCTATTTTGCTCTATAATTATGTCCCTTTATTAAATCGGAAACAATATTACAATAAAAGCCATAGTCAAGTAAAAATTACTGTTTTAATTACATTTCTAAGCCCAAAATATTATAACTCTAGTATTTTACCCACGTATATAACACTAAAAGTATTCGGCTAAGTATGTTATTTGGAAATATATCTGCGATATAAGAGAACAGAGGTGGTTCAGGACCCATTGGAAAAAGCATCGAGTATCATTTATTGATTTATAATGACAGTATATTGCCTGTGGACCTTAATGAAGTCTTGAGAACCCCGCTGATAACTGTCATTTGGGAACATAAATACGCCGTAGGAATTTCCTGATGAAACAGTTACTTGAAGATAGTACGGCACTTCATTCAAAGGGGTAATCCTCAAAGAGAGGTTGCAAAACTCCGCAGAATGAAAACATTTGACGAATTATGTATTCACCTCATCATAAATATCGTCAGGATCAATAACCACCCTCCCTCAAAGACATACGTATAAACTTATTCCTCCGAATTCTATTGAGCTTTAGATATCGTCCTCAACATCCTCGACATATATTCCTTGAAATCGTTACAGTTAATATGAGCCATTGACCTTCCGTTTCTCATAGTTAGCCTTTGCAAACCATTTTGAAATTCCGAAAGGATCATTCCATCCGATGCCCTCCTTTGAAGTCATGGGGCCTCAAATCAGCTGCATTTGCGACTCTATGAAGCCTAGATCCAATTTATTAAAATGTTCGCTGTATATCACTTGGTTGGTTAAAAATAAGAACAAATCCTTTAACATAAATATCTGCCACTATTATTTATGCTAAAGATAAGATATCGATCAGCGAGCTTCTGTCACGCTAAGGGGGAAGGGAGGGAAGAATAAAACGCAAACCCTATCCTTTTCGAATCTAACATGAAACATATCCTAGCAGCAAAATTCGTTCAGTTC